AAAATAAAAGGATTGACTTTTTTTCTAAGTTCCTCTCTCTTCTCTGCCTCTGTTAGCACTCGAAGCTTTTGTTTTCAGTTATCACCCAAAGCTTCTTTCTCTCTGCCTCTCATCTCAACCTCTTATCCTCTCTGCCTCTCATCTTTGCCTTTCTATCTCTCATCGCTGCCTGAATTTCAGCTACTGAAATGGCTGAAATTCTAGCTTTTTTTTTTTTTGTAATGCCGTTATACGTGTAAAACGATGTCCAGGCATCTGTAACGTCAAATAACGGTAACGTGTTCAATTACCGTTATACAAAGGCGTAACGACAGTTTTTTAAAATCATGATCATGTGTATCCTATGAACAAATATAAACAATGTCAGAAGGTTTGTTGAGTTTTAGATTATGCAATGGAGAATAGTCGTCTTCTATTATATAATAACCAAATAATTGAGTTATTGTAACTAAAAACCATTTCGTCAAAAAAAAAAAAAAAAACAACTCCATACTAGCGTTGAGAAGCTATAAACAAGACACTTACCCCTTGTTTGGATATTTCCTCTTGGGAGGAAAGAAAAGAGAGGAAAGAAAAGGGAGAAGAAAGAAAATTATTTTTTACTTGTTGTGTTGGATAAGAGTGAAAATGAAAGAAAAGAAAGTATATTTTTCTTGTTTGGACAATTGTAAAAAAAAAAAGAATATATTATTGTATATTTACTATAATACCCATATGCTTATATTTCTATATATAAATACTTATAATAAATTTGTATGAATATTTTTTTCATGAAAATAACACAAATGATAATAAAATAAAAATCTAACATGTAGCATCTATCCGAAATGATAAGATGGATAATGAATCGTCTACATAGAATAATCGATAATTATTTATTAATTAATTAATTCAATAGCCAATTTAGATTAATTATCAACATAAAATTAATTTAAATATGTATAACATGTATTATTATCTATGCATATAATAAGTTAGTTGCTTTTACTCATCATTTTCTTCTTTTTTTTTTAGAATAAAAATTACTATTTAGCAATTAAAAAAAAAAGTATATTGTAACATTGCGAATAATCATGGAAAGTCAATTAAATCACAAAAAATGAGATAAATCACATATAATTTTTATTTCTTTTTTTGTAGTAACTCCAAAAAGTGTTCGAGGGTCTGTTTTGAGGGATTTTTTAAATCTATTTTGGTGGGTTTTTTGGTGGTTTTGAATCCGGTATAGGATCTGTTTTTGGAGCTTCTTTGGTGGTTCAAATGACCTTTCTAAAAGAGTTGCTCTGTAAGGGTTTTGGGGGGTTGTTTGTAATAGTTACAGGCTGAGTTTGTGGGCTTTGGTGTTAGGTCTGTTTTAGGGTTAGTTTTAGGCCTATTCTTTTAGGGTCTTTTGGGGTTTTTTTGGGTGGTTTTGAAGCTGGTTTGCGGGTGTTCTTGGAGCTGCTTTGGTGGTTCAAATGACCTGTCCAAAGGGGTTGCTCTGTAAGGGTTTTGGAGGGCTGTTGGTAATAGTTTTAGGGCTGAGTTTGGGGGTTTTAGGTAGGTGTTGGGTCTGTTTTGGGGTTGGTTTTAGGCCTATGTTTTGAGGGTGTTTTGGGTGGTTTTGAAGCTGGTTTGCTTGGTGTTTTTTGGAGCTGCTTTGGTGGTTCAAATGACATGTCCAAAAGGGTTGCTCTGTAAAGGTTTTGAGAGGTCTGTTGGTAATAGTTTCAAGGCTGAGCTTGGGGGTTTTGGGTAGGTGTTAAGTCTGTTTTGGGATTAGTTTTAGGCCTATTTTTCAAGTGTTTTTTAAGGTTTTGTTTGGATGGTTTTCAAGCTGGTTTGAGGGTGTTTTTGGAGCTGCTTTGGTGGTTTAAATGACCTGTCCAAAATAGTTGCTCTGTAAGGGTTTTGGGGGGCTGTTGGTAACTATTTCAAGGCTGAGTTTGGGGGCTTTGGGTAGATGTAAGATCTGTTTTGAGGCTATTTTTTAGAGTGTTTTGGGGCTTGTTTGTAGCTGTTTGAAAGCTAATTTTGATGCTTTGAGGGAGGTGCTATTTTTGAGGCCATTTTGGAGGAGATCGCCGACAAACCTTTTTAGTTTGACAGAGACAATCAACTAAGCTTCATCATGTATAACATCCATCATTTTTTTATATTTTTTACCATGAAAATTCTTTTTTCACCATAGCAGTATAAGATTTGTATATTTTATGCAAAGTCAAGTTTTTAAACTTCAATGCTTACCTGTTTTATGGACTTCATTTACAGCAAAAAATAATTAAAAGTGATTATCATAGGAATGTGAGAAAGGATGTACATCCATTGGTAATATTCAATGGTTTTCTCAAAATTTGATCATCTTGAAATTGATTTGTAAAAAGAGTTTTAAATTATTGTTTTCTTTTTTATATTTTCATTATGTTATATATATATATATATATATATATATATATATATATATGCAAACTTTGCTTTTGTGAAAACACAAAAAAGAAAGAAGCCAAAAAAAAAATTCTAAAAATGTAAAAATAATAAAAAGGAGCATAAATTCTATCTCTGTTTACAGATTGCACATCTCTTGCAAAATCACAGCCCAACCATCACTGATTCACTGTTGTAATCCCCAACATCATCCCACAAATAATTGAGCAACAATTCCACATAGAAATTTTGAGCTAAAACTCGTGAAAACAATTAAAAAAAAGAAGGAAGACATTCTACTTGGAATTCAGGGAAACAAAGGCCGATCGATAGTATACACTTCTATTAATAACAAGATTCAAGAAGATGGTAGGTAGCTAGATCTCGTACTCAAACCAAACGAGCCATATCCGGCAATCCTTACTGGAGATCGTCAACATTATTTCTTCTGGATGTAGAAGAAACACTGGTGGGCCGATTATTATTATTACCACTATTAGGATGCTTGACAGGAGCAGGAGCAGGAGCAATAGAAGCTCAAAAAACAGGACAGTTGGAATTAGAATCGAGCCACATTTGAATACAAGCAGCATGAAAGGAGTGCTTGCACACACTTAGTCGTCTCCATCGTCTTCACAGCCACTTTCGTCATCGTCTTGTTTCTCACCAGCATCATTTTGCTGGGTTTGGACGGTGCTGTTAGAAGTTTCTTATTCTTCTTCTTCTTCCTCGGAAGATGAAACGACAGGTGGGGCTTCTTCAATGGGGCATTTTTGAGCCATAAAAGGTAATGAAGGATTGCAGCTTTCCCGTTCCAGCTTAGCCTGCGAATGGATGAAGAGGCAGATCTATTTTTGGGTCTGTTTTGTTATTAGTGAAGAGTAGAGAAGGAGGGGGACGGCTGGGACAAGGGTAAAAACATGAATGAAAAAAAATAATTTATTAAGCATCACGATTTCCTCCCAATTTTGGAAAGAAAATAGGTCCCATTAAAAAATATTTTTTTAATATTTTTTTTCTTTCCACTGCTTTCCTCTCCAAATCAAATGAAGGAAAACTTTCCTTTCCTCCCTATTTTCTTTCATCTCCTCCACTTTCCTCCCTATCCAAACAAGGGGTTAATAATACAGTCTTCTCATTTCCAGTTCTTCCAACAACTCCTACTCCGGTCTCTTCCACAAACGTGCAAGTGATTCCTTCGAGAACCAATGGAGCATTTGGACTTATCACCAAGAACCACACTATTAAAACAGAAATTATGTATTCAAGGGGAAAGGCCAAAATCATCCCAAATTGTTGCATCTTATTACCTTCAGATCCTGCAACTCTATTCTTCCATGAGGTGGCCATGAGGAAGGAGGTCTCATGTCTTCTACAATTGCTGCTGAAGTTTCTGGTAGTATATGCATGAATTGCTTGATCCTTTCAACAGATACGATGTAGTTTGACAAATTGCAATGGCACCGGGTCATAATCACTTGCATGGTTGGGCAATGATTTTGTGCTTTAATAAAAACATTGAAAAATTTTCCCTGACTTAGGCCAAATCTAAATGTAGTTGTTTTTTTTTTTTTTTTTTTTGGTAAAGATTTGATACTTGAATTGCCTAGGAACAAAAGGTTTTTTGTCTTTGGAAATTTGGAAGAGAAGTTAGGGTTTCGGCTTTTCATAGACCTAAAAATTGATACTCATATTGGTACTTGTTTTTCTTTATCTTTAAGTGCTCTATGGCTTTTTTGAAAAATAAAAAACAATAAGTTCATATATAGCTACTTGTTAACCAAGTCCCAAAGTACAAATCATTAATTAAAATATCGAGCATGTACAAATGTTGATGCTTACATACTGACATGTTAGTTATATGTTTTAGTACAGACTTAGCAGTTGGATTATTGAACCGATAATTCAAGGGGTTTTGATGGTTTAAAATCTGGTTGGATTATGATAACACTGATTTGAAGTAGGCTGACAAAATCTGACAATGACATCCTTCAACCATAGTCGAAAAAGGTTGGATAACACAGGGAAGAAAAAGGAAACTAAAAAATGGTTGGTTGTGTGAATCACGGTCCATACATGTGAAGGTGGTTGAGGTTAAAACAAAATTGCTTTTCTTAGCAGCCACAAAAAGAAGTTCCACAGAATCACCATCCAGAATATACCTTCCTCTCTCTTCCGATGCTCCACCAAAATTAAGCGCATCCTATTGAATTTAATTCCCTACGAATATTTCCTTATTCCCACGTTCTTAATTTGCCACCAAATCAAAAACCCTCGTCCAATTAATCTACTGCCCCAAATAGTAAAATACCTAATAATCAGACCCCATTTTTAAGTTTTTAACCATTCGATCGCGTTATCATCAAAAAGTCATTAAATCTAACGGATATAGATATGCCATCTCTCAAAGCTGCAGAAGTTGAACCTGAAACGGCAGGTTAAACGAGGTTTTTTTTTTAATAAATAAATATAAATAATAAGAACACCAGCATCCATTTTTTCAGTTGCTATGCGAGACCAAGATCAAAGTCATTAAATCGTAGGATCGAGAGAACATGTGCTTAGAATCATAAATAGGTCCATAGAAATACAAGAAAATGACACTTCTAGAGAGACCATCAGGAACGAACAAGGAAAATCATCAGGTTGGCTTGCATACAACTTACCACAAAAACACGTACGAGCACATTCTTGTAATATTCCGTTGCCATCTTAAAATTCGAACCTAACACTGATTCTTCAAATGACACCCAACCAACCTTAGCAGAGCATCCTTTTCTCTCGATATAAATACCCCTTCCTCTAGTTTCCAATACTCCACACCCCAAAAATTTTCTCTTCTTATATAAATCCTTCTTAAACCAACAAAAAACTCTACTTCTTGCCTACTTAATTTGTTATATTTCGACTCTGTTTTATTAGTGGTGAGCAATGACTGGAATTGTGGTTGTTTTTGATTTTGACAAGACCATCATTGATGTGGATAGCGATAACTGGGTTATTGATGAGTTGGGTTTTACTGACTTGTTCAATCAACTCCTTCCCACCATGCCATGGAATTCTGTCATGGTTAGTATATCTACATTTTTTTTTTAATTTTATTGTTTTTGTTTAAAACTAATGTTTCAAGAATTATTAGTTTGTTAATGTTCCCATGTTTCTTGATGTGTTTGCTTTCTTGCTTTCACGACATGGATGTTATTTCGTTTTTTTTTTTTTTTTTAACCATCCCCTAATCTATATTTTACCTGCGTTATTTACTGATCTTCATATTCTTTTGGCTTTGTCGAAAATTTTCAGGATAGGATGATGAAGGAGCTTCATTCACATGGAAAAACCATTGAAGACATTGCAGAGGTTTTGAAACGTATTCCTATTCATCCCCAGGTCGTCTCTGCTATTAAAGCAGCTTATGCTTTAGGGTAATAATATATGTAAACACACATCTAATTCTCTTTAACTATTTCTTTTCGCTTCCAAAATGTATGTGTGTTGGTTATACCTAACAGAGAAGAATTTAATGTCGATTTGTTTGCAGGTGTGAGCTGAGGATTGTAAGTGATGCAAACATGTTCTTCATCGAGACAATCCTGAAACATCTCGGATTGAAGGATTATTTCTCTGAAATCAACACGAACCCAGGTTTCGTTGATGAAGAAGGGAGGTTAAGGATCTCTCCTTACCATGATTTCACTCAATCTTCTCACGGTTGCAGTCTTTGCCCTCCAAACATGTGCAAGGTATGCTATGGTCATAAATTTATTGTTTCTGACAAGATCAAAAGATTTTGTTCTGTAATTAGTATTGAAGTTTCCTAGAGGATTTTAGGTATGTTTATGCAAATTATTACAAATTCTATAAGGTTGGTGGCCATTCTGAAAAAAAGATTGTGGTTCGCTTTACTCAACTGGATCCAGAATGTTTGGAACATGTTTTCTCATGATGACATAATTGGTCATATAAAAGACTATTTTTCGTATCCAATAATAAATTATGTTTTCATTGTGCATACCATGTGGGATTTTTTGTGTGACCCTACATGCGACGATATTAATGGTCTTGACATGTAGTCAACACTGCATGTTAATTAATTTGTATTTTATATGTACTATGGTCAACAGTTTGAAAATGTTAAATATGATTTATTAGAAAAATTGAAATTTAATTTTTGTGCTTAATTATGCTTTCTGTAAAATAGGGTCTCGTAATTGAAAGAATTCAAGCTTCTATGTCCAAGGAGGGAAGCAAGAAAATCATCTATCTTGGAGATGGTGCTAGCGATTATTGCCCGAGCTTGAAGCTTACAGAATCAGATTATGTGATGCCAAGGAAGAACTTCCCTGTGTGGGATTTAATTAGCAGAAATCCCTTGCTCATCAAGGCAGAAATTAATGAATGGACTGACGGGGCAGAGCTGGAACGTGTTTTGCTCCAAATTGTTGAGAGAATTTCCAGGGAGGAGATCAACAGCAATTCTGCTCAGTTGTTGTCAGCTGATTGCAAGTCACAGACTATATCAATTGCTACCCATGAAGCCTTGCCTCAGGCTCTCTCAGTTACTCAGTAGTTAACCTATATTAGCCTAAAATATTTTTTGGCAAATGCCAACCCTACCATGTTAACCAGTTTTTCTTTTTCTTTTGTTTTGCTTACATCTTGCCTTTAACAAGAAGCATGTTAGCTTGTGATGGTTTTTATATGATGAAGGAAATGTATAAATATCCAATTTGCTCCAACTTGTTCTTGTTGCTTCTGCCGTAAGTCCTGCTATCAGTTGGGCCGTAAATCTTAGACAAGTCCCGCAAGCAACATAGATTGAGGCAAGCTACAAGGTATTCCAGCAAAGGTTATCAATGTGGACTTGCAATCCAATTTGCTGATAGCTAGTATAAATCATCGTTTCGATTGTCATTTTGGTGTCAGAAAAATGGACAGCACCAACATCAGTGTAGCGTTCTTTTTCTTGGTTACAAAGTAAAATTTTAAACTCAGATCTACTCAGAAAGAGGAGGACCCTAAAACTAGTTGAGTTATAGTTGAAAACCCTCGTTGAGGGTCAATAGAATTCATTGAATACTGCAAACTGGAATTGTGTATCATAAACTAAACAGAAAACAGGGGTAGGTAAAACAGAGGAAGGCTCCATTTTTTTTTTTTTTTTGGCCCTCACAATTGGAAGGTCCAATCAGGAGGCTGTAGGGCTGTACCTCATACTGTGGTGGGAGTCTTGCAAGTGCTTATAAATTAATCTGGGCCATCATAAATGGCTGCCTCTTGGCCTTTGGCTGCTAGCATATCCACCTTTAAATTAATGTGATCAAGTATAGAATATCTGAAGGATTTCAGCAATCAAGAAGCTTCGCATAAGTGTTACAAGGTGGACCATTGTCTAGATCTCTGTAAAGCATACAATATGGATAAACTAAATTGACCCAGGTATAGGAATTGAATTGAATCAAATGATACGACATCAGTCTGTTTGTTGGCTTATAGGGAATTACCTTTGTGATTTGTTCGCACAAATGGTAGAATATTTTAAACTTTGAAGATTGATGAACTATGAAATTGGAAATGTTCTTTATTGGAATCCCATCGATGTGGTGGCAGCGAGTCATGCGTCTCCTATGAACAAATATAAACAATATCAGAAGGTTTGTTGGATTTTAGATTATGCAATAGAGAATAGTCGTCTAATAACCAAATAATTGAGTTCTTGGAACTAAAAACCATTTCGTCAAAAGAAACTAATCCATACTAGCATTGAGAAGCTTTAAACAAAGCACTTAATAATGTAGTCTACTCTTCCCACTTCCAGTTCTTCCAACAATTCCTACTCTGGTCTCTTCCACAAACGTGCAAGTGATTCCTTTGAGAACCAATGGAGCATTTGGACGATATTGTTTCTTTTTATCACCAAGAACCACACTATTAAAACAAAAATTATGTATTCAAGGAGAAAGACCAAAATTATTACAACTTGTTGCATCTTACCTTCAAATCCTGCAACTCTATTCTTCCATCAGTTGGCCATGAGAAAGGAGGTCTCATGTCTTCTACAATTGCTGGAGGTTCTGGCGGTATATGCATGAATTGCTCGATCCTTTCAACAGAGACAATGTAGTTTGACAAATTGCAACGGAACCGGGTCATAATCACTTGGATGGTATTCAACGTAATAGCATACGAAAGAGATTGTCCCACGAACCCTTCAAACAGTAATAACTTTTCTTGATGAACATTCAAGAAGAGTCTTTTCTTTTACATTTTAAGAGCAAACTCAGCAATTTATGTATTTTAATTACCTGGTAAGCGTTTTCCAGGTTGTAGAACAATAAGAAGTGCAGCCGAGAGTAAAATCAGATTCTGCAGCGTCTCTACACGTAATATTAACCACGCCATGGCAGCATTAGAATTAAGCATACGATAATTTTTGAAGAATATATCCGTAACGTTAAAAGCTCTAATAGTGACCACCATAGAGACGTTTCGATGCAAAGTTCAAAATATATGCTTTGGTTGTTCCGTTGATTCTCATTAATTCCCTTGCAGAAGATAGATAATATTATCCCTAAGTACAGAAAAACAATGTAGGAAAATCGTCAGGTTATTTGATCAATGCTTAGAAGGACTAACTGAAGTAAATTAGCAACTCGAAAACGGATACATTCACCTGAGCATATATTGCAGCTATAATTGCAGGAATGGCAACAATGAGGACTTGCCATGTGACGGAGGCCATTACAACTATTATAGTAAGTAGATCAATTGTGGAAGCAGCAGCAAAAGTTAAAAAACAACAATTATGCCTACTTTAATAGATATTACTCAATAAATCTTACTTAGAAACTATCAAACCAATCTTCCTAATGAATTTAAAAAATAAAATATGGATACTGATTTACTAGAATACTTATATCTATGTGTTGTGCATGCCAAAATCTTATATTGGCCGAGGTTAATTTTCAATGCAATTCATTTATTGTGTAGTTTAGATCCAAGTCAAAATTAAAAAATTAATAATATGAATTAATGTATAATAAAATTAATTATATTTTTAATTAATTTTTATGAACAAATTGAGCATATACATTTAGCTTTCTATACAATTCGATTCGAGCATCGTAATGTTATTAAGAGCTCATCTTACTCATCCAAGAGCCTGCGCTTCCCCTTTATTCATAATCTATGAGTTGCATCTTATTCCATTTATACCGTTCTACATCTAACAGTGTAATTAACTCTTTACTCTTTTATTGGAGAAGCAACATAAGAGTAAATCTGTATTATTTTCATACTCATTCTAAGCGACTATTCTTATTGATTCTGAAAAAAGTTAACGTATTCATCAATCCTCAACCAAACCATTGGCTCCGCTGCCACTTGGTGGAAGATCTACAGTAAAACGTCATTTTAAACCCTTATATATATATATATATATGCATATGAATGGACAGTTGAACGCCACCTCTAGACTTTCGGGCGGTGGGTCCATATTCTTCTGATATGCATGCCACTCATTTTCTTGGTTTCAATTAACATGGATATTTTCTACAACTGATGCGTATACATGTCCGATCAACTCAACTCATGTAATTAAAAAATTAATGACCCTCTTGTTTAAGGATTGATAATTCTTTTTTCTTTTTTTTTTTTGAGAATTTCAAATAGAGATAGGTTGCGTAGAATTAAATATTAGATTGGAGTATATTTATTTTGTTAGTATTTTATAAAAAATGCAATAATCAATAAATTTTGTTAAAGGTAAAAAAATCAATATATCTTTATAAAAATATTATGAGTCTTTAATTTATTTTTAGGTTTCTAATTACATCTCATTTGTCATCTGAATTAATTTTTTTTGATATCCCATATATATATATATAATAATAATAATAATTTTCATAATGCATCTCAATATAAGATATAGATACTGACTTTGCTAGAATACATGTGTTCATCGTTGTGACACAAGATCTAGTGTTAAGTTAGATTCATTTTTAATTCAATTTATTTGTCGTGCAATTTGAATCCATGATAAAATAAAAAAATAATACAGAATAAAAATTAAGTACATTAATTAACTAAAATATCGAGCATATATAAATGTTAATACTTACTTGCTGACATGTTAGTTATATGTTTAAGTATTGACTTAGCAGTTGGATTATTGAACCGATAATTCAAGGGTTTTGATGGTTTAAAATCTGGTTGGATTATGATAACACCGATTTGAAGTAGCCTGACAAAATCTGACAATGACATCCTTCAACCGTAATCGAAAAAGGTTGCAAAATACCGGAAAGAAAGAAAACTTAAAAAAAATGGAGGTTGTGTTAGTCACGTTCCATACATGGGAAGGTAACGCGAAGGTGGTTGAGGTTAAAACAAAATTGCTTTTCTTAGCAGCCACAAAAAGAAGTTCCACAGAATCACCATTTGACTCTACCCAGAATGTACCTTCCTCTCTTCTTCCTATGCTCCACCAAAATTAAGCGCGTTTCGAACCTGGTAAGCGCGTCCTATTAAATTTAGTTCCCTACGAATATTTCCTTATTCCCACGTTCTTAATTTGCCACAACGTCCAAAACCCTCGTCCAATTAATCTACTCCCCAGATAGTAAAATACCTAATAATCACACCCCATTTTTTAAGTTTTTAACCATTCGATCGCGTTATCATCAAAAAGTCATTAAATCTAACGGATATAGATATGCCATCTCTCAAAACTGCAGAACTTGAACCTGAAACGGCAGGTTAAGTGAGTTTTTTTTTTTTTAATAAATCAATAAATATAAATAATAAGAACACAAGCCTCCCCTCTATCCGTTGATATGCGAGACCAAGATCAAAGTCATTAAATCGTAGGATTGAGAGAACATGTGCTTAGAATGATAAACAGATCCATAGAAATACAAGAAAATGACACTTCTAGAGAGACCATCAGGAACTAAGAAGGAAAGTCATCAGGTTGGCTTGCCTACAACTTACTACCAAAACACGAGCACCTTGTTGTAATATTGCCTAGGCATCTTAAATTCGAACCTAACACTGATTCTTCAAATGACACCCAACCAACCTTAGCTAGCATAGCATCGATCCTTTTCTCTCAATATACATACCCCTTCCTCTAGTTTCCAATACTCCACACCCCAAAAATTTTCTCTTCTTATATATATCTTCCTTAAACAAACAGGAAACTCTACTTCTTGCCTACTTAATTTGTTGTATTTCTACTCTGTCTAATTAGTCGTGAGCAATGGCTGGAATTGTGGTTGTTTTTGATTTTGACAAGACCCTCATTGATGTGAATAGCGATACCTGGGTTATTGATGAGTTGGGTTTTACTGACTTGTTCAATCAATTACATCGCACCATGCCATGGAATTCTCTCATGGTTAGTATATCTACATTTTTTTTTTAATTTTATTGTTTTTGTTTAAAACTAATGTTTCAAGAATTATTAGTTTGTTAATGTTCCCATGTTTCTTGATGTGTTTGCTTTCTTGCTTTCTCGACATGGATGTTATTTCGTTTTTTTTTTTTTTTTTAACCATGTCCTAATCTATATTTTACCTGCGTTATTTACTGATCTTCATATTCTTTTGGCTTTGTCGAAAATTTTCAGGATAGGATGATGAAGGAGCTTCATTCACATGGAAAAACCATTGAAGACATTGCAGAGGTTTTGAAACGTATTCCTATTCATCCCCAGGTCGTCTCTGCTATTAAAGCAGCTTATGCTTTAGGGTAATAATATACATAAACAAACACCTAATTCTCTTTAACTATTTCTTTTCGCTTCCAACATGTATATGTGTTGTTTATACCTAACAGAGAAGAATTTAATGTCGATTTGTTTGCAGGTGTGAGCTGAGGATTGTAAGTGATGCAAACATGTTCTTCATCGAGACAATCCTGAAACATCTCGGATTGAAGGATTATTTCTCTGAGATCAACACGAACCCAGGTTTCGTTGATAGAGAAGGCAGGTTAAGGATCTCTCCTTACCATGATTCCACTCAATCTTCTCACGGTTGCAGTCTTTGCCCTCCAAACATGTGCAAGGTATGTTATGTCATAATTTTTTTTTTTTTTTTTGACAAGATAAAAAGATTTTCTTTTCTCGTTAGTATTGAAGTTTCCTAGAGGATTTTAGGTATGTTTATGAAAATAATTACAAATTCTATAAGGTTGGTTGCCATTCTGAAAAAAAGTTTGTGGTTCGCTTTACTCAATTGGATCCAGAATGTTTGGAACACGTTTTCTGATGATAACGTAATTGGTCATATAAAAAACTATTTTTGGATCAAATAACAAATTATGTTTTCATTGTTCATACCATGTGGGATGTTTTTTGTGACCCTACATACGACAATATGTATGATCTTGACATTTAGTGAACATTGGATTTTAATTAATTTGTATTTTATATGTACTGCGGTCAGCAATTTCAAAATCTTGATTATGATTATTAGGAATTTAGAATTTAATTTGTGTGTTTAATTATGCTTTCTGTAAAATAGGGTCTCATCATTGAAAGAATTCAAGCATCTATACCCAAGGAGGGAAGCAAGAAAATCATCTATCTTGGAGATGGAGCTGGCGATTATTGCCCGAGCTTGAAGCTTACAGAATCAGATTATGTGATGCCAAGGAAGAACTTCCCAGTGTGGGATTTAATTAGCAGAAATCCCTTGCTCATCAAGGCAGAAATTAATGAATGGACTGACGGGGCAGAGCTGGGACGTGTTTTGCTCCAAATTATTGAGAGAATTTCCAGGTAGGAGATCAATAGCAATTCTGCTCAGTTGTTGTCAGCTGATTGCAAGTTACAGACTATATCAATTGCTGCCCATGATGCCTTGCCTCAAGCTCTCTCAGATACTCAGTAGTTAACCTATATTAGCTTAAAATATTTGGCAAATGCCAACCCTACCAAGTTAACCAGTTTTTTTCTTGTTTTGGCCTTTAACGAGAAGCATGTCAGTTTATGATGTTTTTTATATGACGAAGGAAATGCATGAATATCAAGTTTGCTTCAACTTGTTATTGTTGCTTCTGCTGTAAGTCCTGTTATCAGTAGGGCTGTAAATTTATGATAAGTTAAATCCCACAAGGAACATAGATTCAGGCAAGAGAGTAAATTAAGGGAAGAATAGGTGAGAAGCCCCGAGGAGCAAGATAGAAAATTAAGGGGAGAATAGCTGAGAAGCCACAAGGAGCAAGGAATTCCAACAAAAATCAATGTGGACTTGCATTCCAATTTGCCGACAGCTAGTATAAATTATCTTTTTGATTGTCGTTTTGGGTGACAGAAAAAATGGACAGCACCAACATCAGCATAGCTTTCTTTTTCTTGGTTACAAAGCAAAGATTTAAAGAGATCTCTTGAAAAGAAGTTGGATACTAAAATTATTCGAGTTATAGTTTTTTTTTTAAAAAAAAAACCCTCTTTTAGCCGTTAATGAGGGTCAATAGAATTCATTGAATATTGCAAACTGGAATATCATAAACCAAACATAAAACAGGGGAAGGTAAAACAGAGGAAGGCTCCTTTCGGCCCTCAGCACTATTGGAAGGTCCAATCAGGAGGCTTTAGGACTTGTACCTCGTAGTGTCTATAAATTAATCTGGGCCATCATAAATGCCTCTGGGTGCTAGCATATCCACCTTTAAATTAATGCAATCAAGAAGCTTCCCCTAAGTGTTACAAGTTGGGCCATTGTCTAGATCCTCTCTGTAAAGCGTACAATATGGATAAACTAAATTGACCCAGGTAAAGCAATCGAATTGAATTGAATGATACGACATCAGTCTGTTTGTTGGCTTATAGGGAATTACCTTTGTGAATTGTTCTCGTGAATTAATTAATTAATCCTTATAGTACGAGAAATATATCAGTCCCAGTAGTTTGAACTTCAATTGCTTATTCCACTGCACTTGTACAGTAATAATTGTACTTAGTCAATGACACATCAAATTTTTAGATGGAAATAAATAATCAATTAAATCACAAACCACTATGAGAAGATTTATCACTCTCTGCAGGAAATGCTCCGGTGGTTCTGATGATCATCATGATTGATAATTTTGGTGAGAGTGCTGTCTGCAACTAGACCAGTATTCAGCTACAAGCTTAGAGAAGGAGGAATTAGTTTCCATTAGCTTTGTAGGTTCATCATACTCCAGCAATTTCCCTGAAAATCAAACCATTTTTTAGTGTAAAAATTCCCACAACGCCGTATTGTAATTTATGTTGTGGAGGAATAGAGAACGTAAGAACAGGAAAAGAAAATGGAAGCTTACCATAAGAGAGAACCATGACCATGTCACTGTCTATAACAGTTGGAACTCTATGAGCTACTGTGATCACTGTGCAGTCTGAGAATTCTTGTCTAATAATTCTTTGTAGAATGGCATCAGTAGCAGAATCAATGGAAGCAGTAGCTTCATCAAGAACTAGAATTCTATTTCTTTTCAGAAGGACTCTTCCCAGGCAAAAGAGTTGCCGTTGCCCTGCACTCCAATTTTCGCCTTCGTCGCTCACTGTTAAACTAATTCAATTAGGCCAAGTTGAAAATAGGCACCTTGAAACAACCAGGCCCATAATTTTTAAGAGTCACTGGATAATGCATGGTAAATTGGTAACTATCTATAATGTCTTATAAAAAGCTACTTACCTGATGAGTTCAGCAGATTAGGTAGGCTGCTGATTGTTGCCTTAAGCTGACACTTCTCCAAGGCCTATAAGCAAAGGACTTGTAATTGATTAGTAGACCGATCTTTTATGCTCATTGGGTTGCATATAACAAACAATACAAAACAACTTGAAATGAGGTTGAAATCAGCTATCTCACCTCCCATATTTCCTGATCAGAGTAAAGTCCTAAAGGATCTAAGTTGGTTCGAATGCTACCCCTGAAAAGAGTTGGCTCTTGAGGAATGATGCTGAGCTTCATTCTTAGATCCTTCAGACCCATTGAACATATGTCAAGTCCATCAATAAGAATTTGCCCGCTTTCAGGCTCTACTAACCGAAACAAAGCACTTATCAGGGTAGTTTTTCCGCTTCCTGTCCTCCCCACAACTCCTACTCTTGTTCCTTCTTTGAATGTGCAATTGATTCCTTTAAGAACTAGTGGGGCATTTGGACGATATCTAATCTGAATGAAACAGAACAGAGAAGCAGATTTTAATTATCCTCATGACCTCGTCATAAGGCTCAGCTATGAAGAGTATCCAAAATATCAAACATTCATTCCATTTGATAACTTTAAAACAAAATAGATTGTAGTGATGTTTTTCTTACCTTCAACTCTTGAAATTCTATCCTACCGTTGAAGGGCCATGAAGGTGGTGGCCTTTTGTCCTCCACAACAGCAGGAGGCTCTGGTGGTATGTTCATGAACTGTTTAATGCGTTCAACGGAGATTATGTAATTCGCCAAGTTGCAATACCATCGAGCCATAAAAACTTGAGTGCTGGTTAGTGACAGTGCATAAGACAATGAAAGCCCCACAAGTCCTGCAGGCCAAATGTTGAAGTTAATATAGTATCATCTTTTGACAACACTGTAATACCTGTAAAAACTGGGTTGGTTCGATTCACGTTATGCTACCTGGAGGTACATAGCCCTTTGGAAGCAAAACGAGGAGAAGAGCAGCGGTGAATAAAGTCACATTCATGAGTGCCTCTATTCGTATAACTAGCCATTCCATGGCTCCATTAGAATGGAAGAAAAGTACAGCATCCTTGTCCACAAGTTTTAGGTAGTTTTGGAAGAACCTGTCCGCCATCTTAAAAGCTCTTATTGTGACAACACCAAGTGATGTCTCTGCTGCATAGTTCATAACTGGAGCCTTTGTTGTTCCATTAATTCTTATTAGTTGCGATGCAGAGGCTAAATAATACCCCTTTTCAGCAGAAATAGAAGACAAGAGGCAATCAGCTTCCCTATCCAGACAGAAAAATTTAAGAAGTTGCCATGTGAAAATTGTGTTTTACCTGAACATATTTTGACACCGCCATAGAAAGGATGGCTACAATGAGAACTTGCCATGTGACTGAGGCCATAATTGCTATAATAGCCAGAAGCTCTGTCAGAGGAGCCGCCACAAATATGAAGGCAAAAGGAATGTCAAAATCCAGAACACTCAGGTCTGATGAAGCCTGCAAAATGAAATTATTAGTCCACAATACCAAATACATTGTAATTGCATAAAACAATATATAAAGGAGCTCAATTCTCAAGTTTACTTGAAAAGAAAATGTTCTTACACGAGTCAGAATCCGTCCAACGGGGGTAGAGTCAAAGAAAAGCATGGGAGCTTTAAAAATTGCCTTTATAAATTCAGAGAAGAAGGTTTTTGAAGCTTTTAATCCTACATGGGCAGCAGACAAAGCTCTTCCATACACAAAGACAGCACTGAGCGTTGAAATTAGAGTGTAAATTCCAATCAAGATGCCACTGCTAATTTTAGGAATTTGGATAGCAAATGCTAGCCAATAAGTTGCAGCTGCCTGAAAAGCAACAAAGCCACATTGAGAGAGAATGCTTAGGCATAAAAGAGGTGTTCCCTTTGAGACAGTAAGATAATCGAGGAATGGCTTCCAACCAACATCACCAATCTCTTTCTCTTCTTCTTCTGTTAGCTGTACTCCTGGCACCCCTTCACAGTTTTCTTTACCAAGACCAGACAGATCAGACTCCTCTGATCGAACCATGTCTACATTTACAGATTCTCCTTGACTTTCATTGCTTAAAGAACCTAGCACTGTTATTGCATCTTTATGCGCATTAACAAGATGTTCAAATGCCGTTCCTGCCATCAAGAGCTCTTCATAGCTTCCTGACTGTGTAATTTTTCCATCTTCCATGACCTATGAAAAGAAATCATATCCTTCTTATTCAAAACACCGACGTTGATAAAACCAAAATCTATGGTCACATAATGGTATTATAAACCCCCTTACAAGAATTTTGTCAACTGCTGAGAGGAACTCCACTTGGTGGGTCACTAGTATGACAGTCTTCTTTTCCAGAGCAGTCATGACACAGTCCTGCAATTGGAAGATTGAATAAAACTACAAAGCAAAGGAGGCTATTTGTTGCAGGTTTTATTTCTTGCATTTGAAGAAGAATACAAGTTATTCTATCTGTTTTTGGATCAAAAGCAACACAAAAAAGATAGAGTTAGAAGTAGTTCTATCTTACATTAAATAGAGTTGATTAGAAGTAGTTCTATCTTACATTAAATAGAGTTGAAGCAGTATGTGCATCTACTGCACTAAAAGGATCATCAAGCAGATAAATGTCAGCATCATTGTAGACAGCTCGAGCAAGTTGAATCCTCTGCTTCTGACCACCACTCATGTTAAGCCCTCTCTGGCCTATTTCTGTGAGATCTCCATGGCGAAAACTATTAATATCCTTGTCTAAAGCACAAGATTTTATAGCATTATCATATTTGGCCTGGTCCATTGGCTTTCCATAGAGTATGTTATCACGGACTGTTCCACTTTGGATCCAAGAAGTTTGAGAAACATAGGCAATGGATCCCAATACATCAACCTGATTGCAACCAGAGAGGAAAGTTCACTTAGAAACACAAACATAATGTACTACTGTACAAGTGATGATAATTACTCTTTGTTCTGTAACTTACAGTTCCTGAGAGCTTAGGCATCTCTCCGAGTATAGCATATAAGAGTGACGATTTCCCAGCCCCAACTGGCCCGCAAACTGCAACTTTCTGCCCTGATTTTACATCCAAGTTTACTTCTCTCAGTGTTGGCGTGTCTAACTCAGGATCCCAGCTGAATTTACCTTCTTGAATTGTCACACTATCATCTGAATTCTGAGTCTGAGTTATCTTAATATCGTCGTTCTTGAGCTCGTGATCAAGCAAAAAATTATTGATTCTATCAAAAGAGACCTTGGCTTGGATCATGACTGAAAGACACTCCGGTATCATTCTGACAGGCTCTCCCATGCCTCTTAGCGTTGCGAGAACTGTGAAGATGGTGCTAGCATTTAATGGGGCACTCCCGAAAAGGACACATCCCATGAAGACAACAGAAGAAATGATTGTTGGAGACATCCAATACAAAAGGGTACCATAAGTCTTCTTAAACTGCATTTCTGCCAACCATTTGAATTCATTGTCTCGGTGGGATTCAATCAAATTCTTGAACTTGTCTTCCCAAGATTGTAACTTGATGATTTTCATGCTGTTTAGGATCTCAGAAGTAGCCCTGAGTCGCTCATCTTGTGAGACCATCAACTGTGCTTGACATTTTTGGAGCATTCTTGCAAATGGCACATTAAGAAGACCACATACGAGGAGGGGGACTAATCCAGTGAGAGCGCCAAGACCTACAACCCCGAAAAGAACACTAATGGATAGGAAAAGTTGCAATGCCATACTCCATGTTGCATGAAACCACCAAGGAAATTCTCCCATACGATAGGCATCGACTGCAATGTAATTTACAATCTCACCAGTTGAGTGCCTTCTTCTTCCCAAACTTGAAAGCTTGAATTGCTTTTGGTAGATTGCCACCATTAAGGCTGACCTCATTCTCATGCCGGACTGTCTTGAATAGAAGAAGCAATGCCTCTGAGACAATGACTCGACTAGTTTTACAAGAATTAGACCTCCAACTATAGAAAGACCTTGAAGCAGATTCTGCTCGTCAAGGTTTGAATAATTTACAAAGGCATAGAGCAAAAGAGGAAGAGATACTACTGCCGTTGTCCTTAAAAAAGCGCATATACCTACAAATATATTTTCTTTGAAATGTACTTTCGTCACAGCCCGAAGAACCAAGTTCCTAGTATTGTTTGAACTCTTTTCCCGTACAAGGGAATCCCATGCACCAGAAAATTTTTGATAGGCTGCATTGGCCTCGTCCTCCGGAACTAAAGAAGGGATGTCCTCAATATCTAATGGTTTTGAGTACCCTAAACCCAGCAAAGGACTAATCCACGAAAAGGTCAATTTGCTAAGAAAACTGGCCCTTTCTAGTTTTGATCGGTTCTTTTCATCCTTCTCGCCTAATAGAGGTTCTGACAGACTCTTATCTGGGGTTTGTACAGAAGCAAAATGATTGAAGTTTCTAAAGGCACAAAGCAGAAGTAAGAAATTTACAGGCCAAGGCAGCATGTCGAGAATTTGAATGGTACCTTCCCTTGCCAAAATTTCAATGTTTAAAGCTGAAACCAGAATAGAGAAAGACACCCACCAGACCCTAACAAGAATTCTGATCCATCGGGTTTTTTTAACAAGCATGGAAACTGCCAATGAAATCCAGACTAATCCTCTAGCAAGGTAAACCAACCATATAAAACAATTAAAAGCATCCTTTTCAGCTATTAGATGCCACGATCCAACACTAAGGTAGGAAATGCTCATAAGAGCACAGAACATTGAAACAACCACAGAAATCCAGTCCCTTCTATTGCTACCACTAACTTGATAACTTCTCGTGATGAAACCTACAAACAAAGAAAGATAGAAGACACCTAGGAATGACAGATTTACAACATCTATGATCATTCTTTGTGTACAGGAAGAACCAAAATCAAGTTTCCCTCCACAAATCCAAGAAAGTTTCCCTGCATAACCAGATGGGAACTACCATATAAGTATCTTTTACATACAGAAGAAATACCGAGCACAACAACAACAACATTAAGAAGAGTTAACAGAATATTAAAGCAAAACATATAGCTGCTATAGGCTAAAGTGCTGCCTCAGGTTTCAACTGCAACACACACATAGGAGAGGAATTAATGATATCAGTAATGAAGTATGTATATATCAGGTATATTGGAACCAAAATGAAAAAAATTCGTTACAATCATCAGGTTCTGGGGCTAATACATGGTTCACTAGCACAGTTCTTTATTTATTTATTTTTTCCATTAATACATCGTAATTCCTAAGAAAGAAGAAATAGTATGTGTATACGAGTGTGTGTTTCTATACTTCGACCAACGTAAAAATGAGCTGATAAATATTCTAGAATCTTAACAATCGCTTGACATACACACCCATGTAAAAGAGAGAAAAGGCTAATGAAAATCAAGAAAGTAGTGTAATACCGAGAGAACTCTCGGAGAGAGCCATTGATGGAGGAGTCTTTCTTTCTTGGCTTTCTTCGAAATTGCAGCAGCCAGCAGAAATATCTTTTATGCCTATCGTAGAAGCTGTAGCTAAAACAACTTCATTCAATGAAGGATATATATATATATATATATGTATGTATGTATGTATGTATATATATGTATGTATGTATAGACAACAGAGAATGAAGTGTACGTCAAGTAACTGGCTTGCAGCTATTCTACAAAAAAAGCTTACTCACTGATCATTTTACTAATCTAACATTTTGATATATGTATGTATGTATATATATGTATGTATATATTACTATTTTTTTTCTTGTCACGGTCATTTCTTAATTTGTATGCTTTTTTGGCATCTTTTGCTTAGTACATATTTTGCCAAACATTTTTTTGGATTTGTCTCTATGTATCTGTCCTCAGAGTTTGGTAATTGGAGCACCCAATTAACTACTAACGCAGCGCTTAACACTTTTGCCATACTGTTTTCTCAACAACAACATAAACATCAATTGCTTGCGTATCGATTACTTGAGGCACCAAAAATCATATATATATACATATATGTAAAAAAATTTCAAAGAAATTACTATATATTCTGGTCATTAAAATGGTGATAATAAAATGCACCTAATAATTCAGGGTGGAGTCCTTTTCTTACCACATTAGTGTATTGCAAAGATGTCACACATGACACATGTTAGCTAGGATTTTGATTTCTATATTTAGAGACAGAGTTAGAACTATACCATTAACATTAATTGATTTTAAATTGGTTTGATCCAAAATTATCGTGAAGGGTTGTCTTAGTTTAACTTTCCAAGTAAAAAGAATCAGAGTTTCTTTAAATTAATTAGGAAATTTAAAAAAAAAAAACATTAATTTGGATTTCACTGAAATATACAGAGAACCAGTTACTCATCCTAATATTTCTCTAATGTACCTATTTTCACACATTTTGATGTTGATTCATGGTCCGTATTTTGTTAGTTCATTAAATTTATAACCAAAAAAAAGTCAGTTTGATGTTTTTTATGTTTTTCTTTGATTTTTTAGATTTAAATTTTGAGGTCATTGCTAAGAAGAATTTGTTGAATATCTCTAAGTAGATGCAGAAATTCAAAGATGAAAACAAAAGAACACAGTGCTTAATTATGTGCAGAATATATCCCTACATTGTCTTTAAAGTAATTATTGTGCTCACTATTATAATGTTGTAGGAATTGCAAACAAATTCTTTCAAGAGAATTTCTCTTGAAGTAGTAGAATTTTATGAAGAGAAGAATTTTGAGAGGAGAAGGAGGATTGCGCAATAAATAATTAATTATTTTCTCAATTTATAAATTACTAAAAACCTTTCATAACTAATATAACTTTGAAATCAGTTTGATTCAATAATTAATTACTTTTTAACAGTCATAATCCAACAATTATATATTTTTTAAATTAATTAACTATCACAAAAAACGTAATTAATTAGTTAATTACAAATTTAATTTAATAAAAAAGAAAAAATAAATCCAAAATTAATGAAATTAAATAATCACACGTGTGAAGATTAATCCTTAAATATTCCCCAATAAAAAAAATGTAATTTTAATTGACGAGTATGATGGTTTAAGAATACCTTTTTCCATCAAATAAATAAATAAAATAAAATCAACTAACTTCCACTTCCACAACTCATGGACTCATCAATCATTTGATTGCTGTTAGTTTGCCTATGTATGCGCTTCTAACTTGTAGGTCTACATTGACCTGCCGTTTTAGGTCATATTCAGGGATGAAGATGCTTCTATCGACCAGTGAGTAGAAATCACTATAGATCGGGGAAAAGGGACCCCCAAAGCCAGGCCAGGTAATGAAAGGAAACGAACAGTTTCTGTTTCTGTTTCTGTTTATTGATGTGTTCAATAATACAAGAGAATATTTATTACTGGGGTATGCTATGACGCAGCCGCCTACGCATATGCATGCTTCCTCTTTCCTAATAATTTAATTGAAATCTACCCTGCTACTTATTTACCTTATTGAAAGTAATTAATTAATTAATCATAAATTTGCTGCTGTTCATGTGCAGTTTATATTCTCTATTTAAAAAAAAAAAATTAACAGGCAAAAATATTTAAAGTTTAGGGGTCGTTTGGTAGTAGTTACGGTATTTTTTTTCTTTCCAATTTTTGAAAATAAAAAACGAAAATTTTGTTTGTTTAGATTTTTTTTTAATCGTCAAAAAAGAAGAAAAAGAAAAAGAAGAAACAGCAAAACTAACAACTATTTTAACAATTTCTAAAAACCATTTTATTTGATTTCGAAAATTTTGGTTATTGGTTTTTTACGAAGCAAACAATTTTTTTTAATTTTTGTTATTAAAAATAGAAAATTGAAATGATATCACAGACTTTTTATTTGTTTTAAAAGAATTAAAAACCTATCATTCCCTTATTATTATAACTTTTGAAAAGAATAATGTTATTCTTACATTCTTGTATTAGAATTTAATTATCAAAAAAATATCAATAATTACATTTAGAGATTATTACATATTAGGTATTTGAATTTTTTAAGTTTTTCTATTTGAGTGTGCGAACTTTTAATTATTTTTTTCTAATTAAGTGTTTATATTTTTACTCTTTTTTTTTCTATTTGAGTGTGTGTACTTTTATTTTATTTATAATTTAATGTTTGAACTTTTATTTTTATCTATATTTTTCTATTTGAATGTACATATTTATATTTTTTTTTCTATTTGAGCGTTTATACTTTAAAAAAAAATCCAAATTTTTCTATTAATTTTAAAATCTAACGATTATCTATTTTATAATTTTATGTAAATCATATTTTGATCAAATTAATTAAATTAAAAAATTAAAACAACAAAATAGATAAAAAAATATTCAAATTAATAGAACATGATAATAAAAGATTTCAAAAAAATGAATTAGCGTTAATTGTAATTGGTTAGGTAAGGGGAAAAAAACCAACAAAATAATTATAAAAATTATAAGGTTTTGATGGTGATTGGTTTAGAAATATATGTGTGCGTGCCAGTGCGATTGCGATGTTAAATATTTTATTAAAAAATTAAAATATATAAATAATATAAAAAAATTAAAAAATTTGCATGTCAAATGTATAATAACTTTAGATTTATATGAAAGTTATCAACGAAATCTATTTATTTAATATGAGATGTCTATCTAATAATTAATATTTTCTTTCCATAAATAAATTATGTAAGACGTAAGAATAACATTACTCAAAATAAAAAATAACTTAATTGGACTCAATTTTATTTTAACATATTCCAATGACATGAATTTTCGATCGAATCTCATGTTATATTTATTAGATACTCTTGATGTTTTATTTATCCTCAAACTTAAAAATAGCATCCATAAATAGTTATGGTAACAAATCTCATTTTTATGATAAATGGAGAAACAATACGTAAGAATATCGAATAATTTCTCATGCGGTTGCAAACCTGTCCCCGAAAAGATTAGAGTTGACGCTTTCATTTGAGATATCTTTCATCAACCATAAACACAAAGAAAACAGTACATGTAAAATTGATGGCAAACTGCTGCTCCTTTTTCATGAATGGAGTCCATCGAAAACAGGACCATGATGGAGGAGTATTGACCCATCATTTCATGAATTCCCTTCCAGAGAGATATACCACTGATCCAAGATGGGATCATGTAATGATATAAATATGTGTATTTGTGGGTCCTTCCTTCCTCCTAATTTGTACTGCCATTACAAAAAACTCCAAATGATTAACACAGTCTTTATGAGTTGGAGAGCAGATCCAGACAAAGGATATGGACACAATTAATAAGGATTATTATGCCTCCCCTTTGCATCACGTGACTAGACTAAGAGTCCAATAATAATACGACTGATATTCTGTTTTCCACAGAGCCTGAAATCACCTTTCTACCATGACCCATGATAAGGAAAGAAGACCATAAACCACCACTGCTTTCTTACATATCATAGAAGTTTAAACCAAGTGGAGACTATGGCTGATCGATTGCTATACTTCACTGCTTTTGCTACAGAAAGGTAAGGAAAGTGTTTCAAAATGTTTTTGTCTACGTAATTCAGACGTGGAAAATAAGATAAAATTGACCAAAGAAAAAACTAATCTCAACTGTAAGATCCAGTTAAAGCAGTAGCCGTAATACTCTTTATATGATTGTTTTATTCAAAATATTTAAATCTTACTTAAATAATAATAAAAAAAGGTTCAAATAATTAGGTAGGTGGTTAATGGACAAAAGAAAGGTTTGATTTGCATCCAGCAGAAATGGATCTTGAATTTAATTTATAGGAGAGTCGTTGAAACACTGCATGCATGATAGAAAAGATTTTAGTGGTGGGAATATGGCAAGCGCAAGATTGTGTCTGTTTTTGTGGACGGATTCGTATCTTACTTGCTACTTTCTTAAAGAATTAAATTGTGTCTGTCTTTGTAAATGGATTTGTATCTTACTTGATACTTTCTTAAAGATTTTTTTAGAAAAAACACCTTGCTGTGATCGTTTGTCTTATTTTCATCAATGTATTGATAAAAGTTAGGGATGTCAGTGAATGGGTATAGATCTATTAATTTAATTGTTTATAACATGCATCAAAACAATATTCTACTCATTATTCGTTAAAAAATTATTATATAAATTTTTATCCAATTCATATACGGGTTATACTAGTTTATCCACACATTTAATACCTATTAAATACCTAATAAATTTAATTTATCAAAAATATTTATTGTAATCCCTATAATTTTTTTAAAAAGTTTTTTTTTATCTTTATTTTTTTTTATATTTTGGTCATTTATTTATAAGTTTTTCAATCCTCATAGTTTTTGAAAAAGAATATTTTGATTCTTAATTTTTAAATTTTATACAATTAGAGCCCTACATGTTAATTTAAATAAATAAATAAATAAATTAGTGAGTATTAATAGGGTAAAGAATGAGTATCCGTATCCTAAAATCATATTAGTGGATTTATATTTTTTAACCTTACCCACTTTAATACCCATTAGATATTTTTAATAGATATTTATTGGATCGGATAAAAAGAATATTTGTTTTATACTTGGTACACTGCCATCTCTAGTCAAAGTAAATAGGAACACAATTACGTGATTGTAGGTTAAATAATCCAAAAGTCCTCCTAATTTTAAGATATTTAAGAATTAGTTCTTCAATTATTTACTTTTTTATTGGATCTTTTTTCAATTATTTTTTATTTGAAATTGAATACTTCAATTAGGTGCTTATCAATTCTAACAGTGCAACTACGCTCCGCCTGATTTATATGTGATTGATTTTTTAACATATGTCAAAACTTATGAATTAATGTTTTGCTTTTCTCTTCAAAACTTGTTTCTTTTTTTTAAAAAAAAAAATCATTAATTGCTTATTTTTTAGCATTTAGGAGGAAACAAACAAGTTGTTGAGAGAAAAGCAAAGCATCTATAAGTTTTTACATGTTTTTCGCTACTAAGAAATTGCACTTGAACATTAAAATTAATAAACCTAACAAAATGACTCAATTTCAAATGAAAATAGTTAAAATAAAGTTCAACCTAAATTAAAAAATTAAAAAACTAATTTTTGAATAATTTAAAGTTCAAGAGAAGTTGAATTTGAATGACATGAAATTTTATTTTAATTTTTAAACTGTCATTTTTTTTTTCCCTAAGAGACATTAGGACTTGAGACATTTTAAAATGAGGAAAAAAAAATACTAATATTAATATTGACATTTCTTTTTGTAGGTTGAAAAGTGGATATCCACTTTTCCTTTCATTTTAATCCTTATAATTTAGATGAAAGAAAAAACATATTATTATTAATTATGTTATAAAATAATAATAACAATAGTAAAAAATAAATAAATTCGTTATAAAATAGAGTGAACTAGAATCTGGTCCAGCCACGAGATATAACTGTCAAGGGTAGAGAAGAAAGATGCGATAAGTAACAAAGCAGTGCTGCTAAAAATTCTAGTTTTTTCCTTTCTTTTGCCTCTTTTGTTGATTTTGATAATGAACACAGATCAATAGGTAAGCATCATGCGACAAAGACACTAATTTATGCAACTGAAGAACCAAAAGTGCTCAAGTATATACTATTTTAGCATCTATCCTATGGTTTTAATTTTAAACTTTTTTTTTATAGAGATTGTTATGCCCATATGCCATGTTAGCTTATATGGAGTGCAACATTTTGTCAAATTACTTTAGGAATTGGATCGTATCCCTCTCCTGACCTTTCTTTAACCCCATAATTAACTTACCCATCTAATAGAATTATAGAAAGAAAGCAAGACATGAGTTGCCAAATACGGGGACTTAAAATTTAAAGCGGAAAATCCAATATCTTGAGACGTTTGCATGATGCAAAATTTTAAACATGAAGGGGTAGAGAAAATTGAGAAGTTGATTCAAAGTGTCGCTTTAAATGTGAAAGACAAGGACCCATATACACGAGATGGGGTATATACGAAGACTGAAAACAATAAAGACAAATGAAATAAAAGCATTAGGAGAAAAAGGACAAAATATCTCGACCATTCTGGCTCATCCATCATCAATCACATCAAGATGCCACTGAAAATCGTTTAATAGGCCATAAAAGTTTCCTTCAAGACCAAGTTATTTTGGGAACCAACATGTCATGGCGTGACACCATAGCTTCTCTGGGAAATAAAGGTTTTTTTTTGCCCCCCTTGAGAATGATCATTTGCAGGATCTTAATATAAAAAATAAAAAATTCTTGCAGAAAAGAATGTAGTCGTTACACTAGTTGTTTATCCATGCTATAGTACAAGTTCAGATAAAAACTTATAAAATTTTATTTTAAAAAATAATTTTAATTTAATAGTATGTGTTATATTGTTGGTTATTAAAATATATTAAATAGAAGGTAAAAATAAAATTATTATTTTAAAAAAATTATATGTTTAATAAAATATTTATTATGTTTTTTATAATTTTTCTATTAAAAAGAACATAATTTATTCTTTTATATTCAAATTCTTAACCGATAACGTCTAATAAAATTTCTAAAATTCATAGACTTTTAACTAAAAAATTTTGTTATATTTTTTTTTCAAAAAATCTAAGACAAATTATTTAAAAAATACTTTAATCTTTAGATTATATATATCATTTAAGAATAAAAAAATTCATCATATAAATTATTATTATTTTTTAAAGAGAAAATAACAATATTCTAAAAAATTATTAAAAAATTCATATATAGATTTCTCTCTCCTCTTAGCAATTAGTAACCAGATTACAATGCAAATAAAGTTGTAAATCAAAATAAAAATTATTAAAAAAATGAAGGACCAAAAAACAATATAGCAAAAATTTATGTATAATATGTTCGAAAAAAACCTCAAAATTAGTAATTGGGGGCAAACAAGTAATGTGGGCGGAATAAATGCATAAAAAAACTTAAAATAACAAAAATGATGTGAGTGTGTGAACAATCTAAAAATAATAAAAACCCCACCTTTTTCTTTTAGGGTTCTTTGTATTTATTTATTTTTATTATTATTATTTTTGGCTAAAATATATCTAGAACTCCTAAGATTGAAAAAAAAATTACACCATATAAATTAATGATTATTTTCTTTTACTTATCTACTAAATAAGTCAAAGAAAATAATCCTTAATTTGTATGGAATCAATTCAACCCACCTCTTTTCTTCCCTTTTTTTTTCCGGATTGATTCCAACCTAGTCACACACAAGTTAGGCTAAAAATACAAACAAAACTCTTTGCCTTTAATGGACAAACTAGTAATGTTTCGTCCCTCTTTCTTTTCTTCTTCTTTTTTTTTTTTTTTTTGTTGTCTTTCTTCTTCTTATTCCTCTCTCTCGACCTCGCCTCTTTCTTTTCTCGTACTTCGCTCAATCCATGGAAGAAACGAACCGGAGATTTCGGTTCATTCTCTCCTCCTTTCTCTCTCAATCCTTCTTTCCCTCTCATCCTACTAATCTCCCTCTTTCAATTAGATCAAAATCCCACATTGAAATTTTTTTCCAATTTGATCGAACCTCGAGTTTTTTATTTTTCAATTTTTCCTTTCTAATGGCCTTAATTGGCTTGATTTCTCTTGAGATCAAGCCAATTCAAACCTAAATGAGTCATTATTTTCAAAAACCCCTAACTTTTATTACTCGTTGAAGATCTCAAAAACCCTAGGTTTCAATCTAGTCTAATTCGAGTTCAATTCATGGTTTAAATCCTAAATTGAAACTCTAATTAAGTTCTATTAGCCTTCCTTTCTATTATTCAACCTCAATTTCAATTCACAAAAAGAACACAATTTATTCTTTTATATTCAAATTCTTAATTGATAACTTGTAATAAAAATTCTAAAATTTATGGACTTTTAACTTAAAATTGTTCTTATAATTTTTTTTTTCAAAAAATCTAAGACAAATTATTTAAAAAAATACTTTTAATCTTTAGATTATATATATATAT